AATTCTGCCATACAATCCTGATGCCCTGGAGTTCAGCTCAGTTTCTGAAATGGCCGAACATGCCGAAGAGTGTCGTCAGCTTGCACGGTAATTCACAGCAGATAATTAAGCCCTGTAAAAAAATCACCATGACGGTGATCTTGTTCAGGACACTTTCCCCGTCGGTTCTTCGGTGTGGCTCCGACTGCCTTTCCAATCTCCTGGACTGACTCCCAAGTTTGCACCGAAATATACTGGCCCTTACCGCGTCATAAAGCACCATTCTTCTGTCACCTATGTGATTGAACCGCACAAGCCATCCAGAGACAAGGGTAGCATTGGTCGTGAGACGGTCCACGTCAGTCGCCTCAAGCCCTGCTACGACCCTCCTGTTCTCTCGTCACTTTGAGACGCCAGGATGGCTCACCTTCTTCGCCGGGTTATTGTAGTGGGGAATTCACAAGGCACTGACTAGTGAGACCATCTCTGAGTGCGAAGCGCGAGCTTGTGCACGAGCCGTAGATGCTGGGCTGCCCGAGCATTTGTGTCTGTACCGGCTGCCTGCCTAGTACCTGGCGTCGCCATTAAGCTCCCTTGCAATTTTTATGTTTCAAGTTCATTTGTTTTACATAAAGCGTTTACCTACAGAAAGGGTGCGTAGTCGTCAGTCGTCGTTTTAATGATGGCGACGCCTTACGGCGTGCCCGCGAAGCTCGCAACATGCCACTGGCTTGACCTTGGTTCAAGATCGAAAAGGTGCTGACCGCGCTGAAGTTATGTATTGAATGAAGTGCACCCGTCTCGGTCCATGCTCTACATCCTAAGCACTTAATTATGAGTGCCGTTGATGAGATGGAATGGCAATCGGCGTTAAAGAGCAGCATCTACATCAGGGCGCTTTGTTATTAGGCGCGTCTATTGAGCACATTTACGTTGGCGTGTTTTGACTTTTGTTTACAAATTTGCTAAGCAGTATATATGAGGGATCAGTTAGGCGACGCGATTTCTTCATTCTGTTTAGTCTTTTTAGGTTGATCACGTGGTTTACGCTGTAGTACACTACAGTCTGCTTCGTAAAGAGTTTGTTGCAGCGTCTGGTGACTGCTGGTCTCAGCTTTGCGTAATCTCAATGTCCCCCACGGAAGCGATGATCACAAGCCACTCATTTCCGCTCTGGATTGGGCTCCATGAATTACTTGTGAAAGTACATGTGCTGGCAGGAATCACTTGAAGTAAAATTTGCCGGCTGCCTAAAGTTCCTCGATATTTTCGTGTATTTTCCGAATAGTTAACATTTTATTGGCTATGTGACATCATGACAGCAGTTGCCAAAATGACTGAAACGATTACATAAAAATTCTAGTTCTTAGCATAACCCTGTTGTTACGACAATGTTCTTTTTTTAAGCCTTTGATATTTGATGTTAGTACGAAGTACAAGCATACCTTCATTCAGAATGTGCACTGGAATGTTGTCATAACCTCTTGGAAATACTTTTAAATTCTTTCCTTTAATTATTTTGATGGCAGTCTGTGCCAGTATAATAATGTTGTGCCTGGAGAATGACTTTGTTAAAGGGAGAAATGTGTGATAAAAGTGCACTCGTGTCAGTAAGAATGCAAGCTGAAACAAAAATGCAGTACAAATGCCGAGGGGATCCTCCGCCAAAAAGTCATCAGTTGGATGAGATGGAGACTTGTTACAGTCAAAGAAACCAAACTTGATGTGCTGAAGGGTAAAATATCACACTGAATGTGTACCTCGTATTGAAGTAGTGATGTGCCCGATCTCTTAGACATGAGGCATGAATTGTAAGATCAGCTGTAGCCAACGTAGTGTTAACATGTGCCTGAGTGCACGGGATGCAGCATAAGTATTCATCAAGAACATACGCTTATTCCCATTTGTCAACATACTGTAGCAGATGTAGATTGATCTCAATTTATATTACACAATGATTGAGACTAGGCATTGCACTCAGATTCATAGAAAATAAAATGGACCATAATAAGTGAAAACATGTAACATGTGTTGGCCACACATCAGTTCCTATTCCCAATAAAGACCTAACGTACCTGACAATCTGTCATGTTCCTTGAAAAGTGATATATTCATGTTACAGGGACACCAAAAGAAACGATGACTTGGTTTTGATTGACAAACTGAGAACTCTAATGCCAATGTTTGGCTATCATAAGTTCGTTATTAGCGGGTAAAATCGAAGTTGAAGTTTCATTTATAAATGTCAAGCCAAAAACACTGCCCATGAGGTCAAAAATTTAAAAATGTATTTTTCTCATTTTAGCTACATTGGCTTGATGAAATTCTCTTAGACGTACGCTAGATTTGTGGTACCCACACATGACAAGGTTTTTCATTTTTGTTGACTAGAACTTACGTAGGACCCAGTAGACGCCTTCAATATCTATGATGCCGCGGTATTAGGTGCAAGGATCTATTTTAAAGGAGCACTGACATCAAATTTCAAGATCGAGGTGTGCCAATTATGCGATTGCTTGGTATTCATGGGTCTTCTTGGCCAAATTTGAATGACATTCGTCGTGTGGAAGTAATTTAATTTTAATGTCGAATAGCATAGAAAAGCCGAAGAGAAAAAACGGAAAATAAACTGCCCTGCAACATCGACACTAGTGCTACGTGTTTGGTGTGATACATCCCACAAAGACCATCCTGAGTGACGATGCCATAGTAGCGATGACGAGTACGATCCAATTATTCTTATCGTGGCTCCAAAGGGCAGAAACGTACTCGCTCGTCACGTCTGATCTTCGTCACATAATTTTGAATGATTTCGCAAAATTATCAAGATAGAAACCACTTTCAGAAGAACGGCGAAAAAATAGAGCATGATTAAACGTGTGCTTGTCAATCAGCATGCCACCGAATCGTTGTGAGTTGCAGTCGTCTAGTTCGACACACGGAAAAAAGTGCAATGAGGGTGTCTTGTCATATCAAGTATGTGGTACACATGAGCATGACCAAAAGCTATCAAAAGTGGAAGAGCGTATAGTCAGATATCATCGCTAACAAGTAACGCGCAGGTATCGTTGAATTTTAGATTATTTTAGTTAGAATGTTCTTATCGTGGCACCGAAATGCAGAAACGTATTCGTTCATCGCATCTGATCTTCGTCGCACCATTTTCAATGATTTCGTAAAATTATCAAGATAGAAACCACTTTTAGAAGAACGGCGAAAGAAAAGAGCATGATTAAAGGTGTGCTTGTCGATCAGCGTGCCCGGGAATTGTTGGCAGTGTCAGTCGTCTAGTTCGACGCTTGGAAAAAGTGCATTGAGGGTGTCTTTTCATATCACGTTGTGTTACACATCAGCATGATCACAAGCCATCAAAAGTGGAAGAGCGTATAGTCAGATATCATCGCTAACAAGTAACACGCAGGTATCGTGTAATTTTAGTTCATCTGAAGACTTTGCATCCACGTAAAAGTTGTAATACCGTGGTAACCGCGAGGGGATGGATAGGTGGGGCCATCAGGAGGCGTAAAAAAGAACATGGCAAGCAGGAAACATATTCTATTACTCTAGTGATGCTCATTCACGATAGCTATGTTGCATTGACCCCTATGCGTAAAACTGAATGCTTTGCATACCAAAACGCACCAATATAGCTAACTGAGACACACGAACCAACATGGTTGAAGCACGCATCCTCGAATACCTCTGCAGTGCTGCTTGGAACGACGTCCATATCGGAATCACTGTTCTGCAGAAGGTCGATCGAAGCAAAACTAACTCTCGACGTCTCGAATCAAAAGAATTCTAAGCTCCAGACTAATATATTGAACCCGAGTTGACACTTTGTACGGCGATGACAGCAATGCAGGAGACAAGGCATGAATGAATATGTCCGCCTAGCAGACGAAATGCTTGCGCAGCAGCTGAGCCTGACGTCACTCTTTTCTGAGCAGATGTGGTCAGCTGTGGCTGATTCCGAGGTGATCCCGAGGTAGCGCCACTGCTGGTGCTCCCAGCATTAGAAATGGCGGGATATCTGGCCGTTTTAAAAAATGGTAGATACCAGTGATATAAATCAACAAAAGTGATGGTTATTCATCTCTCAGTTGAGTTCCAGGTCACGAATCGCTGCTAAAAGGTCTATAGCTGCTTCCCCATGCAAAAAATTTGGCACAAGTAAATTTGATGTAAGTGCTCCTGTAAGGTAGGGTCGTCTACACCCACATTTTCTTTTCGCAAATTTTCTCGCTCACGAAGCGTTTTGTTGTGATAAAAGGGGTGTTTTGAGGCTTGTAAAAGTATACTTTACTAATATGCGAAAAATCATTTTGCTTGTTAGTGTCCCTTTAAAATATCATGTCACCACATTTGTTTTACGTTTCACAGCTATGTTTATTGTTGATTACATAAAGAAAAGGTAGTGGTGAATGAAATCTTGTGTTGTGATTTCTTTCTTGTGTAGCAGTCATGCTAGCTCTCTTTTTCACCATGAAGTTTCACATTATGGTCATTGACACTTCTCACCAGTGTGTCTGGGAACTGTGTGTCATACTGCCTGAAATCTTTTCTCTTGCTTTCTCTCCTTCACATCTATGTAGGCACTAGTCGCATGTGCATAGTCAAATAATGTAGACACATCTGCCCCCGTGGTCTATTGGCTAAGGCACTCGGCGGCTGACCCCCAGATCGCAGGATCGAATCCTGGCCGTGGTGGCCGCATTTTCTATGGAGGCGAAAATGCTTGGGGTCTGTGTGCATAGCTTTAAGTGCACGGACACCAGGTAGTTGAAATTTCTGGAGGCCTGCACTACAACGTCTCTCGTAATTATATGTTGGTTTCGGGAGTTTATACCCCAACAAATATTATTAAGTAACGAAGACGTATTGCTGGCAGAACATGTCCGCTGTTAAATATTTCATTCCAGCCTGATAGTCGCTCTTTGCTTTGTACTACACTATAATATAATGCAATATGTATATGAGAATGGCCAGCAGTTTCATTTCATTCCAACTCACGCTTTCAGATTCCAGAGTTCGACAGCCTCTACCTGAACATGAACAGTATCATCCACGTCTGCTGTTATCCCAAGGATGATGACCCACACTTTCATAATACAGAAGAAAGAATTTTCTTGGATATCTTCAATTACATAGATGTGAGTATGATGTCACATGATATATATTTCAAGCAGTTTGTTGGCCTATTATTGGTGCAGTCAGCCTGGATATGTGTGCTTTGTTTGTCTGACGATAGTGTAAATGTGGTTTTCAGTTCGTGTTTCGCATGATCAAGCCCAATAAGACGTTCTTCATGGCTGTTGATGGCGTAGCCCCAAGGGCCAAGATGAATCAGCAAAGAGGCCGAAGATTCAAGTAAGTGCCCTCAGATAGTCACGACTTGGTTCTGTGTGTAAGCGATATTTAGCTGGTGTATCGCTCATGCAGAAATTTGTGTGCTCCAAGTTGTGCCCTTATTCGAGTCACAAGAGTAGTTGTGTTTAAGAGTCTTATTAACATCTCTAGATGCGGGAAAGCTGTGCCTATACATCACCATGCTTAGCATAGTCCACAATGTACAGACGCTAATAATTTCACCGTCTTGCCAGTCTGACAACTTGGAAATGTTCTAGCTAATGGACTCTCCTCTGATGTAGAAGTGCAAACCATTGGGTCTGTGGGGGGATACATTGAAAAAAGATTAGAGAATTGCCAATGTATAACTACACCTAGGAATGAAACTCTGGTATGGACAGTAGAGTATCCTTCCTATCAATGGTGTACTTGTGTTGCTGTGGTCAATGCGGCTATTTATCAGCAAATATGCACTATTCACCTCAGAAAGAGACCGTCATACGCATTTTAAATCTGTTTTCGTGGTCTGTTTTTAGCAAATCTTTCATCAAGCATCACTAAACATGCCGCCAGTTAACCCACTTAGTGCTACATACTAAAACTACGTCATATTCCTGAGAAATCAGTGATCATTTCTTCTATTCTTTCATTCTCAATAAAATGGCAAGTCACTTTACACACAGTATAATCATAAACACTCTGTTGATCTTTTGTTTGTCCCTATAACACTGTGACTTAAGTATCTGTTTTCTGTTTCTATGCTGTATGGTTTCTTTATCAAGGCATCCCATGTGTAAATTCTGTTCATGAAATTGTTGGAAGCTGCTGACACAGGTAGCGTCACAGTATAGCAGTTGCGCAACAGTCATTTGATGTGTTATTCGCGTTTCTGGTAGTACTAGCGTTGCCTATTAGATTTGAAGCTTAACCACTTGAGCATTGTATACGACGTTAGGTACTTGTCTTTAGCAAACTTATTCGATATAGTTTCTTTGACATGCAAAGTTAGCAACCTCAAAGGTGCAGAAAAACTTGCTGCTTTCTAAATAACAGTGTTGCCATTCACTGCTGCTCCAAGTTTTTCTTCTATGCTGCTTTAAAAGATGTTAATGTTGTCCATGATGTGACCTTGCATCGAAATACATGTAGTATACTGAAAGTAAGCTTTTTGTTTTTTGAATGTATCTTTCTCATGTCCCTCGTCTCCACAGTGGGAGATTGTGTTTGCCGAATATGGACTCATTGGAAAGTTCACCGGGTGGAAGATCTGTATCTGGCCCTTGTGTAAATACTGTGCCACATCTTTTTTCTTGTTGTTAGGTCTGTGAAGGAAGCCCAGGCACAAGAAAAAGAGGCATGCGAAAGGGGAGAGGTGTTGCCCACTGAGGAGCGATTCGACTCCAACTGCATCTCACCTGGTGAGATTTTACCTGATAGTTGTCTTTTTCTTTTATTGCGACAGCAATTATATGGACACTCTCGGCTAGATATTGCCGTCGACGTCAATCACAGTATACGTATACATATCTATATACAATCGAGACCACTAATAACAAACCAGAGCGTGACGCGGTATCAGTTCGCTGTATCCCGAATTTCGTAGTAAATTAAGCACAGCTTTTAAAAAATGTTGGGAGTGAAAACACAAACTTTTTATGCCCCAAAAAGTCCGTGATGCACGTGTTTCGAATAGCAGAAGCGATAAGGGCGGTCTCGAGTTCATTTAAAATGGCTGGGTGTTCCTTCGCCGAGGCCCGTGGCATAAGCTGCATGAGGCACTGGCTCCAAAGTTTCGTCGTCTCGCAATCCGATTCCTCCAAATCGCTCTCGCCTTGTACTTCATTCACAATGCCCCAATCCGGGCATGGTTCCGCAGTGTCGGCATCATCATCGGCCGTAATTACACCATCGCAACAGATGTGTCACCCGCTCTCCCAGGTCAGAGCGCTGCCACAAATCGCCGCCGTAGTTCGGAACCTTCAGGCTGGGCATCAGGCCCGACGTCGACGAAGTCGGTCTCGCGAAAACAGTTTTGTGCGCATGCAGACGTCACCACCGCCGACGAAATATTCACCATCTCCCCAGCTGAATGCCGGGATGCCCGAAGTGGCAAGTTGGCTGCCAGGTGATTAACAGATATGAGCAAGCTATCCCCCCGCAACGCGGCACGTAACGTGCGGATTACGCTCAAGTCAAGTGGTCACACTTTGGACGTTTTGTTGAGCGGCACGAAAAAGCGTGCTAGTCCTCCCGTCGGCCATCATGACCACACACGTACACCAAGAGCGAGCACGACGGGCACACGCGACACACATGCCAGAGCGCGTGGAACAGCTCTGGGCCCATTTTCAGTCAGAAAACGAAACTAATTCCAGCCAGCATGATGGGCCGTCGCGGAGCGGTGGAGACGGGCGAAGATTTTATGATCAAGAGAGGAGAGCACACTTGTGAAAGAAGGGCAAGGAGTTGTGATAGAGAGAGGGGAGGATGCGGGGGGAGGGTGACTTTGAAAACCAAAACACACGGGAAGGATGCAGGTTGAGTAGCTTGCTTGAAAGGTCGGCGAAACTCGCGCGTAGAAAAACTTGGAAAGAGTGCATGGCCGCCTAAGTCCGTGCCTGCAGCGGAGTTCGAAGAATCAGCGGCCGTAGTCAAAAAATTCGTACGTTGCGCCGGCGCGATTGCGTGGCCTCACGAACTTCAATATATTGCGATTCGTTTCAGCGCAAATTACCAGCTGTTTTCGCGCTTCCGCACGCGCGCAGAAGGCATGCTGAGCCGAGTGCGAAGTGAGCGAGCATTCGTTCTAAACACGAAATGAATTGCAAATTATCATGAGTCGGTGGGGTAGCGTATGCGCATGCACTAGACGCAGACTATCGGATACAGTCTCTGGCCGACGATGTTGGCCAATGGTCGGATCACTCCTGGCCGGCGACGCCAGCGACAGTACCAGCGATCAAAAAAAAGGGTAGATGGCTGACCCGTCTTCAAAAGATTGGTGGCAGTGTGAAAACATGGGCATTGTCTGTCGATGCGGGTTGCTCAGAGTAGCATGGGGACAAAGCACGGAGGGGTGCGTAACAAAAAGCAGTCCGGGAGAGCGGCAACTAGAGGGGCACGGAGGCAGGGTCGGCGTTTAACAATAAGAATGTGTGGGCACGTCGCCGACGCCTGATGGGTGGTCGAAATCTGTTTTTCGGGAAGTTGGCGGACTGCTGATTTTGTTTGCTGTAATCCATCAGAGGCGCTCGGAGTCGTTCTTTGTAAGTGCGATTTCGTGCCATTGAACCAATGTATATTTTCACGGTCATGCGGATATTGTTCGTTTCGAGTGAAAGTTCGTTATAGTGGGCCGTTATACGTTGGCGCGACTGTATACGAAAACACAAGAAAAAAAATAATTCAGAAAAAGACTCCGATGCACAGAATCAAACGTGGGACCTCTTGTTTGTGTGTGCGAGGCGTTAGCCACTGAGCCACGAAATAGCACCTCCTTCAATGTTGTTACGGCAAGCTATTTATATTGCTTACAGCTAATGGAGCTCATCTCGGCGTTAACTATCGTGTTTTCAGCACTACCAGTGAGATGGCACAATGAGCACGCAGTGCTAGGTAGTCACGACGCGGTGAAGCGCGCTCTCATCTCCCACACATTTTGCCCCACAAAGATGGGGTTGGGGGTGTACGCTCACGCGTCCATGCGCTTATCTCACAGTTTGGAGAATCGTTTGCCTTGGGCTTTCACCGGAATTATTTTGTAGTTGTTACTGGGCGCACAAAGGTCACTGCACTCGCTGCACAGTCTCCTTTAGCGAAAGGGGCGCGCTTTTCAAGTGCAGCGAAGTAACAAGTGAGACATTTATTCGCGTTCATCTGTACCTGTGAGTATGTATTAGTGCGTCATTTATGTATCAGAAGGGTGGGCACATTTCGATCTGCTTGTCATTCTTCGCGTGACCTTTCGCTTTGTTGCTATCGCGTTCATCGCTTTACCTTTGCGACATAGCTGTGACTTTTTTATTATGGGTTCCCTTGCCCTCCCTTCCCTCTCCAATATCTTTTTCGGGGTAGGAGTTTAAGTTGTGCACTCAACGATTGCATTGCGGCTCCGCCATGTCGCTGCTAAGCATTTTTCAGGTGCAGTACCCGGCTGCACATCCACCATTCTAGAGCCCTTTCCTCTCTCTCTCTCACTTTCATTTGCAGAAACGGCATGGAAACAGTGATATTACCACCTTGTTAAAGGTTTTCTGCAATCATTATAGGGTTGAGTTTTAGAGAAATGTGTTTTACGAGTCCTAGGATTTGCAAAAGACCGAATTCTATAATGCTAAAAGGAGAATCAAAGTCTCGATCTGTACTGTACTTTAGTATTGCAGCCTGCTCAGTAATTCAATTAATTAGAAGAAGAATGCCCTTAATAAAAGAACTGAAATTTCTGTTTCATCCGTGGAACTCGCGCCCCGCAAGTTTTGCGGCCAACTTTGCTTATAAGCATGTGTGTTATATTTGCACATCAGTGATACACTTTTGAAGGCATTATATTTAGAGTACTCCAACATGCTAGCTAGCTTTTATGGTGGAGAATTCACGCCTTATACGTGAGGAATGACAGCATGCATTTGGGTGCAGGCACCGAATTCATGGCACTGGTTGCAGGATCAGCTACAGCAGTTTGTGGCCGTGAAGGTCTCTAGCGACCCGCTGTGGCGTGGTGTCAAGGTTTACCTCTCGGGCCACCAGGTTTGTAGTTGCAGCTTTATTTTAATTTTACTTTTTCTGACTGGCTACTCTAGTGGTCAAAGTTGGCATGTGCATCACTTGTTGTTTATCAAGGAGTAGTTTAGCGCTTCTTTTTTTCTCACATGCATTCCTAGCTTTAACTCTTCAAAAAAAGAAAGAATGAAACCATTTAATCTGCACCCCACTTTTTAAGCACATTTTTCAGTTTTACTTGGTGCAACTGATACACAAGGAAATATGGTATTACTGGTAGACCTAAGGTGCGTCAAATTCTCTGTGCCTTTTTTTGACGATCTGTATAAAAGTCACTTTCACGCAGGTTTCTTTGAGAGTCTTTAGTGTAGGTGAGATATAGTTGCAGAAGATTTCAACAATATTTGAGAGCAGCCATAACTTTGGTGCATCATACAATTATAATTGTGTTCACTGCCCTGGTAGTGGTTTTCTGATATTCCAGCCCTACAAATAATAATATTTTTGTTGTGCTGATGAATGCTCATCTCTGCTACAAGCATGCATCTATATAATTTTATTGTTGAGCTCTTGTGTTCATGGTACGATTCCTTTTCTGTGCTGTCTTAAATAGACACCAGGTGAAGAGGAACACAATGTGATGGATTTTATCCGGACTGAACGATCCCAGCCTGGTTACGACCCAAACACGAGGCATTGTTTATATATGGGCTTGATGCCGACTTGTTGATAATTTTTTTTAACAAGCGTACATTGCTTTTACTATTGTTGTCACACACTGTAGACTTCGTGAACTTTGAGCATGTGTTTGTGCCATTGCTATTTTATTGTCGCTACTTTTATAGTCTGGATATCTGTTCACGTTGGATTCATTACTGCTGAAGTGAGACACCTGAAGGTTTGTTTTAATAGCTGAAGAAATGCCAGAGTCCCTGACAAAATTTGCAAGGATTTCTGTGTGTCCAGCCTAAGATCGAGAACACAATGTGTGTCTGCAAGTAAATTTCGGGTATCTGAAACGTTCGACAAATGTTTGACTTTACAAAAGTAAGGAAGCATTATTGCATGGAGCACCTGATTCCAACATGATGCCAATGCCACCTGTCAGATCTGTTTTGCAAATGGCCGTCTGTTCTTTATTTTTATTCTTCCGTGCCGTTTTGGTGGGCAGTCTTACGGCAGCAAAGTCAGGATTTAGTCGGGTGTGGCAGAAAACTCAGCAGTTTTGTCACAAGGTAATAATGGGATGCAAAACACACAGTGTGCTGACAAACATCTTCACCAATTATTTATTCCATATTTAATGGAAGAGGCTACCGTGGAAGGGCAACTTTTTTGTTTGTTGAGATATCCTGATGGAATTTTCAGGGTAGGCAAATAATAATGCCATTTGAATAACCATCAAATTTCATTCATTTAGGTTCACTAGTGCCAAAGTTACAGCCATTTATCAGGATAGTCCACATAGGTTTCTTAGTTAGGCTCTGGTGAATTTAATAAATGTGCTACCTTCGTGAAATTCACTGTGATGAATCCTGGATAGGTGTTTTACACTAGAACAGAGCCCTTTTTTTTTAATTTCCTTTCTAGAAAATTTTTAGCGGGGCACTGAATTTGGTGTTTGCCATTGAACATTTATTAAGTGAGTTTTAATTATCACACAGACACCATAAATTTTCAAAGTGGCTCTGTCAGTGTGTGGGCTATATATTAGGGCACATAATAAAACAAATCTGACAGAATTCAGATGAGCGGTTGAAGATATATCACCAGACTAAACACCCTCACTGGTTAAAAAAGTCATTCTGAGAAAATGAACCTTGAAAGTTTTGAACACATATTTTTGTCTAAAATAACCCTGCAAAGTAGCTAGAAATGTTCTTTAGGACTTTTTTCTTTTTCCGCTTTTCCTGCTTTTTTTGCAGCTGTTCTTGAGCCTTCTTCACATAGAAAGGATCTTTCTCCGCTGCCCGTTGTTTGCCGGCATAGCACCGAGCTTTGGTTGAACAGCAACACATTTGCTATACTCTGCGGCTAACTCCTCGCACGTCCAAAAACGTGTTGGCGAACGCACAGTTGATGATGCGGTCGCAATGTTTAGGGCCATAATCACTGCAATTAGTTAGTGCAACGCTCCAGGCGCACTTGAGCAGGAAACACGAACACCAGCCTCACTTGTGATGACGGAGCAATGCGCCGATTCTGAATGTTGCAATAAGCATCAATGCAGTCGTCGTCTTGAAGAGACAAAGGAGAAGCTGCTCAGCATTGATGCGACTGTCGGCCACACGTTGTCGCCTGAACGAGCCTCACCATGTGCACGAGCTTCATCGGACGCTTTCTTGAAAAGAACGTGTGTCGAGTCCCAAACTTTGCCCTGCCCATTGATAGTCACAGAATAACAATCAGCATTACGTGAACACAGCAAAAGATCGTGTCGTAAAGACGGCGAAAGATTGAAGAGCACGCGTAAAAACCAAGCGGAATGATGGCAAAGAGGAAAACAACGCATGCCAAGAGAACATGACCGGTGCATGCAAGGCCGGTGCCGGAGCAGACGGCAAGCAGGGCGGAACAGATGTCTCATCGTGCGAAGCAGCCAATAGCAGCTGCGTGATCGCCCGCTCCCTCGAGATGTGCGCACTTCCTCCAATCGAGGCTCCGCATCCGAGCCGCGGGAGACTTCAAAAGTTTGAGAGCCCCCAAATCTTGAGCAGAATCTCACGCGGCCACGCCGCTGCTGCTGCCACCGCGGGTAACGAAAACAAAGAGCAAGAATTCATGAGCAAAACAAGACCAAGATGGTGGCGCTAGGCCGCGTGGTTGAGAAATTGCAAACACGTGAAGTTGGGGTATTTTCAGCGCTCGCTGGCAACTCGCCAGCTGCCACAGCATGTTACATAATTTATTTGATGTACTTTCACAGTGAAATAAATATTGATATTTATAGAACAGATGATATAAGACATACTACCAGATTATGTGGTTTTCCAAAAATCGACTTTTTTGCAATTTGTTCGTTTTCATAGGGCGCGTACCCCCCTTTGCCAACGTAAACCAAGAACTCAATATTTCTATGACGTTGAAAGTAAATATCCCTTATTGTGAATATATTCATACATAACAGCCACCTCGAAATGCCTGCATGAAAGAAGAGGTAGGCGATGTCGTTTCTAGTTTTTGCTGAACTGGCGCCATTTTCTCCATCTTGCGCTGTGCATCATAAATAGGTTAATAAACGAGAAATACTTGTAATGATATTACTATGTGCTGTAGGACAGGGGCATTGGAAACATTTGTTCACATAATTTTGTTTGTCCTTTTTCGTAATATATTGTTGGGATCACAGTTCAAATAACTATTACAGTTCAAGGTGGTATGCATGTGTCATCTGTTGACTTCTGGAACACTTGAGTTTCACATTGTCGCCTTAACGAGGTCTCTTCTTATTCACAGGAGAAAGTGCTCTTTTAGTTTTGCTATGTATTATGTCGGTCTGAAGCTTTCAAGTTGGTGCGTTTCTTTGCAGATTATGCTCGGCATGTGTTCCCCAGAACCACACTTCGCACTGCTTCGGGAGGAGATAGTGTATGGCAAAAGGCAGAATCAGAAGAGGTTTGCACTCATTTGTAATATTTGTGTTTGGTATAATGCATGTGCATTCGGAACTGAATGTATTGTCCATCCACTGAACCTAAATGTATTTTGTTTTGCTGTTTGTGAATTCATGTGTCATGCCAAACATTATGAATAAGTTAGTACTTTCGGCTGTAAAAATTTACAGTGCACTGGAATTTACAAAGATGATTAAAAAACATTGGGTCTCTTAAATTCTACAATAAGTAACCGTATTATTTCTTTTCCTCGGTCTATGTTTTCCCAGTCAATTGATTCGAGTCGTCATGCATTACCAGTGCAGTAATCCATACATCTTGTGAACTCGCATCTAATAAGTGCTGTCACAGACATTGCGGTGCTGTATAAACACATGTTCAACAGAATTTTAGAGCTTTTCTGGAGGATTACTCTTACCTAAAAAATTGTAATATTAAAACAGGTGGGCAGGCATGGCAGTGTTTTTACAATATTTCCAGTTGCTATATAGTCGCCCACTTCCGTTTTTTATTACATTTCTCTAGCAGTTTTACATTATTACTACAACCAAGGAGTTCCCCTGAATTTCATTACAAAAGAAGCTGTTGGCTTCCTCCTATTACTTGACAACCACTAACACGTTTCATCTCATTGTTTCGACTGTAGCTTGTTTTTCTGGGCACGATTGTGCCTCCAAAGGGTTATATTTGCACTTTTAGTTTCTTTATCATTATAAAAGGTGACTGTGTCATTGGTTGAGTGCCGCGCTGTACGCGACATCAACAAGCTCGTGTTGCTTATATTTATTTGCTTATTGTTGTGTTGCTTTTGCAGGCTCAATGTTCCTGAAGAGATCACATTTCACCTTCTGCATCTGTCGTTGCTACGAGAGTACTTGGAGCTCGAATTCCTAAGAGTTAAAGGTGAGCTACCTGTCCTCGTCTGAAGAGCAGGCTGTAAATTGAATGCATCTAGATGGTGTCCCCTTCATTCTCTTCTTGTACTCCGCTGAAGACGATCCCGTTCGATTTCAAGATGGACAACATCATAGACGACTGGGTGCTGATGTGTTTCCTAGAGGCCAACGACTTTCTTTCGCACTTGCCCAATCTCCACATTGCGCACAATGCGTTGCCGGTTCTCTACCAGGCGTACATTGATGTGATGCCATCTCTTGGAGGCAAGTTCCTGACGTCATTTTAAAGGAAGGGGCTGTGCACTGACCTGTGTGACTGTTATATGTGTGACTGCACAGAGCTATAGTTAAACTGTAGCTCTGTTTTGTTGCCACTTTCACATGAATGTGACAGCACTGCAATGGCAACAGGTGGTGCTTTGCATTTTAAATGTCCCCTGTTGCTTTTCTTCCCACAGCCTAGCCCTTGTAATACGTGGTTTGTGCTTGTCTGGTAAGGACTGTAGCATTAAAGTCCTTCTTCATAGAGAAGTGCAAAAAAGCCTTGGCAATTTTTTTGAACCGGCCTGTAAAACCTACAACTGAAGTTGAGCTCTGTCATTGCTGTCCAAAGAGGCAAGTGATATCACATTCGCCTGTAGGGATGTGTATATTCAATTGTTATTTCTTTTTGTTTTGCTAAGAACTGAAAAAAAGTTTCTATTAGAGATAACCTGGTACAGTTACAGCAGTTTTCCCCTGCTTCACCTTTCCTCTCTCTTTGAGGGGGCAAGGCTTGACGTCGGGAGCAACTGGTCTATGTTTCGCAAGGTCGCATGTATAATTTGGGCATTAATTTGCATTTCAATTGATTATTAGTTTGTCAGACATGTAATAGATCAAATGGTGCCCCCAAGAAGGACCTTCTTATATGTCAAAGCATTTCAGTGCGGAAGGAAATTATTTAATGTCCTAAATTAGTACAGAATCTGCAATTTTTTTTTCCAGTGCTGCCTCTGGCACTTTGATAGTGATGCGAAGCTTTGAGGGGTCATGCGGTACAAATGAGATTGATTGACAAAAAGCCTTCTAGATCAGAGTGGGTCTAGAGACCCCACCAAAGCGTTTTGCAACTTTCACACCAGGGGAAGAACACATGTGCTGTGGTGCCTGCGGAAAAAAGCAGAGAACATAGACCAGGTACTTTTTAGTTGTTTTAAACCTCTGTTTTTTGCCTGCAGGTTACATCAACGAATACAGAAAGCTAAATTTGGAAAGGTTTGAAAAATTCTTCACCAGGCTTTCTCAGTTATGTTTGCTTATCTTCGTACTGACAGTTTTTTTTTGTCTTTCTGAATATTGCTGTCACATTTTTTTATTGTCCAATGTGTTTTGATTTTTTTTCAGTTTGGCTATGAAAAATTCATCGACGCACAGGCTGACCAAAAGTTCTTAGCTTCTAAACGAGCCAATGCCGAAGCACCAAATGGTATTGTGCAGCAGAACGGGTCGCCACCTTCTGGCAAGGAGAAGACTAAGGATCCAGATGCAAGGCGTAAGGTCAAAACGGGGACAGTGCGGTCTTTCCACTTCGATGTGTGTCCTCGGGCGAGGTTGCTTGTTAGGCGTTATATTTGCAGGTTGTCATTGGTATGCATGAGAATGTGGGGAAGAGCTTGCTCTCATAGTAGGCAGATAACACTGATGGCTATTGCTGCACCAGCTGTTCAGTTACTTGCACCATAGTTACTTCATAGAAAACCCAGCGTCATTGGACGTGATCAATCAATAACTGCAGTACATAACGTGTAGCTTCCTATCTTGAATGCACCGAGCAGTTTTCAGCATTATTTTGTAAAATAGACTTTATAACGAGCTCTATCAAAGTGTTGTTGTACCCTTTTTCTTGCGTACAAGCTGTGTCACAGATTCATACCAGAAATGTGCTGCCAAGTTCAAACGTAGGCATGGGTGCTGCTTTCTGGCATGCAATAATACAGTCAAACTTGCATGTATAGCACCTACATATAATGAAGTTATTGTGCATATCAAAGAAGTATGTAATCTCCTTAAATATATTTTTATATATAAAATATTATACGTGTATAGAAATACTTGTAAGGATCTCTTCAGATTCGAAATGTCTGGCCTTGAATACATAGCCTAATAGCCTGAATTGCTTCTCTGACGTCTCAAGTAAACAAAAGTAACATTAACATAGGCTCAGAACTTTAAGATACTGCTGCTGAAGTTAAGGTCCTGGGTTCACTTTCCAGTTGCCGTGGTTGCGTTTCTGTGGAGTCAGTATGTAGGAAACGCTTGCTTGTGTAGATTTAAATACATGTTAAATAACCTAAGTTGGTGAAAAACAAACCAGACCCCTAAACTTCCTGCATCACTCAGAATCCAGTGCGGGAATCGAGGGCATCAAATCACATAATTAAACTCTGAAGTTTCGAGCATACGGCCACATCAATGTACTGAGAGTAGTAAATTAATTTACGAGAAACACGTGAGACATGGTTGGAAAACATGCAGACAAATCTTTTTTTTCTGCACACAAGCGAAGCGTGATATGGTGATATAATTTTACATCACTGGTTAGTTCTTCAGATTAGGTTTTTAAAAGATATTAAGATTTCCGTTATATCACGAGTGCCTAAAGGACTATTGTTTCTTAATAAGCATTGTGTGATTACATAGTGCCCTCTCCTGCGTGCTGAATGTCAGTGTCTCGAAGTGCTTAACAATTTCTGTCAGGCCTGTTGGAAAAGTTTAGTCACCTGGACATTCATGACTTCGATAGTGGCGAAGACCAGGAGGGTCTTCTTGAGATGGAGTTTCGTCAGCACAAGGCGGGACTACTACGTCAACAAATTAGAATACTCAGATGTCAACAAGTGAGCTCTCGGTCCTTACTTCAAGGTTCTGTGTGGCAGCACCTCTGTGCATTTCGGCGTCACGAGGGGTTGTTTTGTATTCTTTCAGGCAAGTTATCTAAGAACAAGCGCACGGGCTACGTCCGGGCTATTCAATGGAACCTCCACTACTACTACAATGGCTGTGCAGTCGTGGAACTGGTAAGGAGTTTTTTGCATGGAAGGTTATGAGAAACTGTTTGGCATGTGAACTGAAATCTTACTTGGATTTTTAAAAAATTACTGTTTTCATCACAGTTCATGTCCAGTGCAAGGCAAAGGCTTCTTTCTGAAACTATTACCGTCAACTCTCGTTAATTAGAACTCAAAGGGACCTCTGAATTTTGTTTGAATTACCAGGAAATTTGAATTATCAGAAGTTTTCAGGTATATAACTGTGGGTGAGGTGACACTACACATTACGATTAGGCATTGATTTTATCGCATTTAAAAATTTTTAAGCTTTTTAAAACCCTAACAGCACGCAATGAACAGAAAGCAGAGGTCTAAGGTTCACAAGCTTATTGGCCATTACACCTTGATCAGACCTTTCAAAGAAATAGTTGCCAACTGCTTCTTTGCTATATGCTCCTTCATAACAATGCTCTTTATACCCGTTGAAAAGCATCATGGTTTATCATGCCTGTGCTTCGTTTCAAGCATTTGTTTACTAGCAAAACCTTTTTCCTCAAAGGCCTAAGGTGCTTATCGTCATTTTTGGACTGTTTTAATTATACAGGCACCCAAATTTTTAAATAGTAGTGAGAAAGCAGCAAATATTTTCTGATGTGGAACCAAAACAAAGTATGAATTAACAGAGGTTGGTGTTTGAATCAAGAGGCTTTTAAATACATTGGAAGAATAGAGGGACAACCAAAAAATTGAATTTTGTTTGAATTGAACAGAAGTGTAAATTATCAGAGTTTGAATTATCGGGAGCCTACTAAAATTGGAGATTGCTCCCTTTCGTGTACCGCATCGTGTACCGCACTAAGTGAAAAGCTAATTTTTGGGTCTCAGCAGCTTCAATAAATTTGTTATACAATAATGAGGAACGACTGCTTTAAACACATGGTTTAAGCCTATGGTCAGTGCTTTTTTTACATTCTTCTTTTTTTTTTTGTCCTAGTGTTCGTATTTAGCTATCCTTACAATCCGCACGTGCGGAGATCTGTTCAAAACAATTAAAAAGCCAAATTTCTGCTCAACTTCCGCTATTTTTTTGTCAGATGCACTGTTACTCTCTTTGGTGGGATCATACTACTCTGCTTCGGGCAGCGTTATGCTACTCTGTTGAGGTGGAGTGCTTTGACCCGTTCGGAGGAATATCTGTACTGTGGCTCAACAAGAGGGGATTCACTCTGGAAAACAGAGTTAAATTGGGGAGAAAAAGTATTCTCCCAAAAAGAGTGCCCAGCACTCTCTTAGTATTTAAAGTGTTTTTCTTTCTCAATAACCGAAGTTATTAGTGAAAAGAGCCCATATTTTAAAATGTGTGACAAAATTATTAAAAATAAAGGCCGTAAATTATGCAGGTAAATGGTGATTGTATTGAAAAATATGATGCAGGCAATCTTTGCATTGTTTGTATGCATTTTTGGTCCATAGACACTCCACAATCTGTAGAATCCCTTAAAGTTTATTATCACGTTTCAACACACACGCACGAACATGCACACACACACACACACACACACACACACACATTAATCTATCTATGTATTCATTGACTATCGTGTCCGTGTGTCTGGTCGTGTGTAGGTATGTGTGTGTTTGTGCATCAAAAGAGCTTCGCCTGCTCTAGAAAAGATCATTTTTGTAAGCAGCGTGCGTGAAAGATTTCTCGTCATAGTTTATAGGTATCTTACTTTTACGTAGCTACACTTCTACACCATAGATTACAATATTTTTCCCGCATTACCATGTGGAAGGAAATATGCATGCCAATTAACACTAAAATAAAATTCATTGTGTATGTTCTTAATATTATGATCTTGCAAATGCTCTCAAATATAAGCCATTCTCTAATAGGAAATAAATAAGAAAATTTTTATTGGAAGCGTAAGTCTACTGGCGTATTCCCCGACGCGACAAGAAATAGCAAGAATTAAGTATTGTTTCGTAAATTGTTCATCTCGCTAACTGGGGTCAAGCATTGCCGACGCAGTGTGATGCAGCCAAGAACGCGCGAAGTGGATACTGTTCAGAGCACGACTCTCAAGGTCAGCGAGTGCGGCAAATTGGATTCCGCCGCGTACAGCTTCGGTGTCTTGACCTGGAAGACTACCGTCCACCTACGAGACGCACTGCCGTGTGTATTCGCCAAGGCAGAGAGAATCAACAACATGGAGGACATGGCCCATCCCAGCTGTGGTGTGTTGATGCACTACGAGGTACATTTACCTACATTTTACTCTAATAACACCTCAGACGAGTAGCGACTCGATATACCACTTCACTGTGTATTATCGCGGGCAAAAAAGAGAGGAGAATGTACTGTGTTCAGAAATTTGTTAAACCCGACAATACGCAATTAAGCGTGCATCTACAAATTCGTGTTTTTCCTTGCGCAGAAATATTGTTATGCCTTCCTCAAGTTCAATAGCAAATCTTAGGTTTGTTGAGCCTTTTAGGCAGCCTATATAATACCACACACTCCTGGAGTGTTTTAATTTCGCAGTAAGACCCCCTGAAGAAGAAATATTGTCTGGCTTAGAAGGAATAGCTGGTACATTTTGAGCAGTGTAAGACAAAGTTTTAAAATGAGTGAATTTCGAACGAGAAATGACATGTGTAATATTGCCGCTATATTAGTGTCTGGTGCTTCTGGGGAACCGATAATGTGCTCATGGTGCAACATGTGGTGGTAGTGTAAGTATTTGGTAGGGTTTACACCCTGAAGTCACGATATGTATATGGAAGATGTCCTCGTGGTGGGCTCCAGCATTTTAGACCATTCGATGTTTTTATCGTGCAGCAAAATTCAAGTACACGGGCTTCTAGGGTTTCGCTTTTATCGAAATGTGGCCACAGCGGCTGGAACTTCCTTCCACCACAATGAGGCCAGTGGTCGAGCAACATAACCAGTAGATCCCCGCAGTGGGAAATGATGCACTTCTGTGAATGCACTTGATTCAGCAGGTACAGTTGTAATCACGGACAAAAAGGTTAATTAGTTATCGTAAAAAAAAGTGTGGGAAAACGAGAGAAGTATATAGGCCAACAGGACAGAGCACTGGCTAACAACACGAGCGTTTATTTTTTGTGAAGACACATATACGCCTGGGAAAGGGTAAAAAATAAAGCAGCTGAAAGAAATGGAGGCACTTCGCTGGCGTCTCAACCAGTAGATGCCCCGCTGCGGTGGTCTATAGTGGCTAAGGTACTCGGCTGCTAACCCACAGGTCGCGGGATCGAATCCCGGCTGTGGCAGCTGCATTTCCGAGGGAGGGGGAAATGTTGTAGGCCCGTGTACTCAGATTTGGGTGCACGTTAAAGAACCCCAGGTGGTCGAAATTTCCGGAGCCCTCCACTACGGCGTCTCTCATAATCATATAGTGGTTTTGGGACGCTAAACCCCACATATCAGTCAATCAATCAACCAGTAGATGCAAAGTTCTTTAATGGGGAAAATTGTTTCATAGAATAGTACGATGGATGGTGCGCTTACTTACTTGGTGGCTAAACAGAATGAATTTCGAATGCTTCGTATATCTTCCGGATGCGAAATCAGAATACTTACGTAACATTCGCCTCTGTTCGAAACTCGGAGTGATTTGCGCTCGTCACAGTAGATTGCAATCCACTTTGGTCTTTGCGAGTGTTCTTGTGCTCTTGGAGCCGGTCATTCACGCAGCGACCCGTTTTACCGATGTGAAGGCCACAGCAAAAAATCATTATCTCATGAATGGCCACAGTCTTGCACGGAACAAAATTCGTAGCGTGTTGCTTCTTGCAAATGCAAGCAGGGGCGTTCCTTTTCTTGCACATTGATCCGCATTTTGACTGGCGCCGAGAACACCAATCTTACGCTAGCACTGTGCTGCTATATACCTTCTTGATTTTTTGTTTGATACCGTAACGATCGGGAATGATTGCCACTTTTGGCCTGTCATCTGTATTCCGATGTTTTTTTTTTTCGTGTGGTGCTCATTAAAAAAAAGGTGCCGTGAAAACAGTCGGGCTGTTTCAAAGTTGTATGATCATGGAGATAAGCGAACACAAAGCCTCAAGAGAGGTGCACCTGTATATTCGTACAAGTAATCTTAACCGTGCAAGTGATTTACTTAGAAAACACTGATGGTGCTCATTGACATTATTCCGAAGGCATTCGAGCCTTTGATTTCACGAATATTGAGGATTACGTGGGCGCTATCACTGTGCCGTTTATTGCTTAGTGATTATAGCAAAGAGAGCACTGCCACCTTTTCAAGTATGCCAGTTTTTGCGATACTGTCCGCAAACTTGCGCAAACTTCTGTTGCAATTGTGTGATAGATCATTCATTGCATAAACGATCGGTTGTTTACCAGGTACCTTCATATAGCAGATCATTGGATGCTACTAATTCATTAAAGATCAACCCAATGTTTGCGTAGACTTCCGTGCTGCCAAGAATGTCCCTTAGTTTCCACTGAAACCATTTCAAGGTGGAACTTAAGCCTTCGATACCTCATCGAAAGTCAAAATTCACTATCGACGTCAATGCGACTTTGGCGTCACCACAAGCTTGTGGCCTGGTGTACTGTAGGCCTTCACGTTGGAGACGAGACGTCATTTTTAGCGCCAAGAAGTGGCCGCTGCTGTGCCGCATTAAGAACCAAGGCGCGCAGAAGCAATGATAAATGGTGGAACGATGCCGACACAATGTGAATTTTCAATGAATTAGCTCTTTTATTATTATATAATATTTTGTGTCCCAAAACCGCTATAATAGTATAAGGAATGCCCAAAGGGTGGCGGAAATATCGACCATCGGTTGTTCATTAACATGCAGTGACATCACGCAGTATATGGTCATCTGGCATTTCGCCTTCGCTATACAACGGAATATTTGTTCTTGACTGCCCGTAGCCACCAGCATCACATTGCAACAAAATTTACTTTACAGAGCTGTCGACGTGAATAAACGAACCGGCCAACAGCAGTGCATGTGCATATGTATGAGAAAAGAACAATTTTGCGTGTAAGTGGTACATGTGAAAGTGGAGCTAAGAACATGAAGATAATATAAAATATGATGAGGTAAATGTAGCTAAAATATTTTTTACGATTTCAAGGCATGATAAACTACTATGTGTGTCAAGCTACCCTTACTTGCATATTAAAACGATCGATCTCTTTTTTTGAGTAGCTCAATTGAAGGAGAGCTAACGTGTGGGTCCGCCTAGTTAACACTGTTCCCCGCTTCAATTATTTGCCGTGCTAGTCTTCTTGGGCTTCGTCCTGACACACTGCACAAAGTATATTCATGGATACAAACCCAATGTTCCTCCTTACAAGAAGATTTCGCCATAGCTAATGTTAACTACATACGGCTTTGTATCCTAAGTGCTTCTTTTGACACCACATGAAAGAAGACACAAGAGAAAACTGCTCTAAACTGACCGGATTTATTGCAGTCAAGCCACACTTTATAGCAACCAGCTCCGGCAGGACATGCGTCGTACATACCAAGTGCACAAGCACCCCAACTTCGTCACCCTGAGCGCACTCATGATAGCACATTCGAAAAAATAAAAACTTCAGTGGTAAACAATGGAAGTGTGGCAGCTTGGGCTAGTTGGTATAATATGACAATAGTTATAGGGCGAGAATAGACGACGACGCAAAAACAAGTTTGTGTCCTTCGTGTACATGTCTTTCTTGTCTCTGCGTGGTCATTCTGTTCTCGCGCTATAACTATCACATGGTAAACAATGTTACGGAAGGCACTTCAATGTGCTGCGAACTCAAACAATGTATGTAAGAGGGTTCTGCACAGTAGATTACGGAGTAGATGGTTAACACTGTACCCTCTGTTGACGTCCTTAGATGAAGCTTGTATGGGTATTTTTCCTAGGCAGTTTGAAGCACTTGCATGGCTCGAAGTGCAATACATGACTTCTATTCAGAGTTAATAGGTTCACCGTTTGCACGCACAGTCATTTTTATTCTTTACATGCATCTGGTTACGTGGCCGACCGATAACACCACCGACACATTTTCTGCGACCTGAAATCATTTACGCTGGTGCGTTCACATTTCCGAAGGCTGGGCGGATATAGACCACGGGAGCCAATCTCGCACCAGCGACCAGGACACAGTCACAAAATTTTGTCCCGGATAGGGCCTAGACCATGAGAAAGTTGCTCGAGGGGGAGGAAAAGGGTTCAACCAAATGTCAGCTAAAATCACCACATGACAAGGTTTATGACATATCTCATATACAGGCAATTGTTGAAGAATGATTATCATGATTCAAGAAACATATATACCCATACCGATCTCCACAATAGGCTTAATCTAGATGGCAATTCTGGAGTACCAGGTTTCTGCTCCACGGTTAGGTTTCAACACGAGGTTAATTTTTTCGTGGGGTGCGTCACGAAAAAAATTATGCTGATGTCCAGCAAAATCTGTGTAGCTTACCTGAACGAAAGCTATAATCACGATAGGCAAGAAAATATTGCGAGCAATGTTTACAAATCTCTCAAATAGCCGCAGTCATAAAAAAGGGGTAAAGTACAAAGACTTCATATGTGGGCTATGGCACAGAAGGATCTGTGGGCTGCATGGCCTCATGTTTGAAGTCCCTGATGTGGACTGTGAATAACCTGTGTCACATACGTATAACACAAGCCATGGTACGTGGGTACAGGCCAATGTGAGCGGGGAAAGGGTATCAATAAGTGTATATACTTCATGAAACGGGGTACGCTCGCGTACTCCTGGGCCACCTATGGTCTATATCAAGTTAACAGCACGATCACGATGGCGCCAAGACGTAGGCAGCAAGGAATTTGGAGACAGCCGGATGGCTTTTCGCTCACTAAGAAATATTTGTCATTTACTAACACATATAGCTGACGCTTTTGGTTGCACTCCTCTCTCAGTTATAAACGAAATACCTCACCTCTTATTCTTCCAGGAAGCCGAGGCTAAATCCGGCATGCACGATGACAGCGCATGTGCACAACCCCGCCCAGCCACGACCGCATGAGGATGGTATGTCATGCAGCACCGCTCTGAGGCTGACCTCTGCACCACCGGTTGTACTGCGGCTCACCAGAGCTAAACGTTTTACTGACTGCAGCTAGGGCAAGTATCTCTGAGTGGCGATATATGAATGCTGCGCTCGCGTCCATTGTCGTGGCGGGCGCCATGCGCTTCAACGCTATCAGCTACGCGGTCACTTCGCCAACTGTGGGCAAGAGGGTTTTTAGCTTCCCTTTGTCAAAGGAAGCCTCATCAAGACCTAGATCTGTATAGGACGTACTTGGAGGGCGCTGCGAGCTCGAATCCATGCTACAATCCACCGTACGATCATGACCTCTAACTGAAGCTTCGCACGTAGCGAGCTACAGCGACGTTTTTTCGTTCTTTTATGGAATAATTCAAATGATTTGTGTCAATATAAAGTTTGTGTGATTGAAATAAAGCTTTTTAGAGTTGAAATCTGTGGGGTCACTTGCATACTCACTGTTAGTGTGCAATGGTAAAGCAGCAACTGAAGCCACTGCTTTACTCTCGGTAGGCTTGAAACTCTGCTGGTTGGTGCGGTTTCAATCTCTAAGGGACTCTATAGGGTAAAATATTTTTTCAATATTACTAAACAATCTTGTCGTAGATTTTGAAAGCTGCTGCTAGCTCCTACACTTTTTCTAACTGATAAAAATGAATTGCATTGTCATCTGTGGGTGCCATAGAGCGAGGATAAGAAGTTTCAGAAATCTTCATCGAGCGAACGTTTCGAAAATACGAAAAAAATACTGTTTTAAATTCCTGATCTTACACTAGAAGATTTAGGCGTGAAAGTATGGCTAGACTAAATTTCCCATGTAAGTCTTATTCCCGTTTTTTTAGTTTATTGAACCGCGTGACATGCGCATAAGTGCACACTATATACTTAGTTTAGTTTGAATTGAAAAAAATCACAGCATATTCACAAAGTGAATGTTGATAAGTGGGTCGAAGCGGCCTTCAGCCTCTCCGACCGTTCGTTCTGGCTTCCGTGCGTCCGTCCGTCTGTGCGTGCGTCTGTCCACCTATCCGTTCGTGCGTACGTCCGTCCATCTGTCCGTCCGTTTGTGTGTTCATTCATCCGTCTGTCTGTCTCCTAGTCTGTACGTCAATCCGTGCATCCGTCTGTGCGTCCATCTAGTGAAGACTCCAAGTACCGCCATCTCGCAGCGGGTATGTGCCAAGCGTGTCAGGCCAACGGACAGGGACATTGCTCGACTTTAAAGAGCTTCGCCCCTAAATTGCTTCATTTCACAGCTTGACTTGCCCCCTTATCTAGAAATAACGAAATTTCCAAAGGCTGGGCGGATATAGACCACAAGAGGCAATCTCTCACCAGATACCAGGACACAGTCACGAAATTTTGTCTCGGATAGAGCCTAGACTATGAGGAAGTTACCCGAGGGGGAAGAAAGGGGTTCAACCAAATGTCAGCTAATTTGCACCTTTACTCTCTTAGCGCGGGATGGTAACCCAGAAAGTGAAGTGAGTGTTTTACTCCACGTAGGGTTGAAAACTCTGCTGGTTGTTACGGTTGCACTCTGAAACACTAAAGACCAAAATGAATTTTCGCGTATTAGTAAAGTAAAATTACACAGCTCTCAAAACAGAACTCTTATTGCGATTTCATGCTTTGTTACCGAAAAAATGCGCGAAAATAAATTGTGGGTGGTGTTGCCGCGTTGAGATTTCCACACCATGCAATGCGACGTTGTAGAATTTGAAGGCATCTACGGGATCCTACTTAGCTTCTAACCGGTAAAAATGAAATACAGTGTCATCTGTGGGTGCCATAAAGCTAGCATGCGATGTTTCGCAAACTTTTATCGAGTCAGTGGGCAGAAATAGGAAACATACTTTTTGAAATTTTCGGCGTCACGCACGGAAATTTCAGCGAGAATTTTGAAACTAAAATATCAACCTTGACTTTTCCCTGTTAATAATAAACTTACGATAGTGAAACATGGCGTTAGAAATCTCAGAGTTTCGTTCAGGAATCTATACGAAGTCTGTGGTTGTCTTTAGTGTATCTTTCAGAAACAACGCGAAAAAAACAGAATTTTAAATGATCAAAGTATTCTCACTCAAGTTTTTTTATGCCATTCTTAAGGTTTGTTATATCAACTGAAGAAACCAGACAGCAATCGAAAGTGAAGACAAATACAGACAGGTTAACAGTTTTCCGCTATCATGAGTGAACTTGCCCAGCTAGGAAAGTTGCGGTACTACCGCAAAGGAGGTGTGGTGAAAGTGTGCCATGTGTTAGAGAAAATTAGGGTAGTGTATCGGCACGCACTCATTTTACTTCAGTTCATTTATTGGTAGCCTAAGGGCTGATTGCCTTACAAAGGGGAGTGAATAAAAATACACCCCCAAAATAAAAGCAAATTAGAACGCAGAAAATATTTTGTAAAGATACAAGTTCTCCCGCTCCCATTCATACAGTGTTAGCTAATGCAAATGAGTAATGCAAGTGAACTATTATGGTTTACTGACGAGTAAACTATTCATGAATCAAACTTTAATATTGAATACCCTTAAAACAAATGTCTGTGTTCGCATTGAAAAATAAATTAGCTAGAATTAAGTGATAATCAAAGGTGGCAGCGAGGCAGACAATCAGTCATTTGCTCGCACAGATGCGCACCCACTCGCAGTTGTCGCTTAAAAAAAACGACCGTAAAACGTGGATACTGCATTGTACATTGTTCGGCGATCATGGCGAGTGCGGTGCGACTTTCTCTCACATGTTGTTTCGAACAGTACACATCATTGATGTGTATCAAGCTATACAAGAAACACCTTTGCGATACATTTTCAGTGAGTAAGCTTTCACGTTTTGCTACCCACTTCAGGCGCCCAGCGCACTTATCTGTCACGGGTGGAAGACGACGGGGTCTGATGTATTGCCTGTAGTAGGGGGCCTTCGAATAATGTAACGTGTGAGCATCGCCTATGTGCCATTAGTCAACTCTGAGCCTTTATTGAAGTGATCTTAACCAACCTACGTGTTCTTTGTGAGAATCCCGTTTTCTCGCATGATCGCTTTAATGCATACGCTTTTTCTATCTCCATCGGTCAGAAAATAGAACGTTTTGACTGAGACATAAAATTAGTTCAGGCTTGAAGACTTCATCCTGTCACAACACAGCTGTGTCCAAGTTGCGAACGCTTCAAAGAAATAATTTTATCCTCATAAAGCGTTGAAACACAAACATCCACGTTCACCAAGGAAGGCTGATGATTGGTTGATTGATATGTGGGGTTTAACGTCCCAAAAACCACCAAACGAATATGAGTGAAGGGCTCGAAAAATTTCGACCACCTGGGAATATTTACCCTGCAGATGGGCCTACAGCATTTTAACCTCCATCGAAAATGCAGCCGCTACAGTTGGTATTCGATCGCGTGACCGGTACTCAGTCAATGGCTAACGTACTCGGTCAGCAGCCGAGTACCTTAGCCACTGTACCATCGTGGCGGGGCAGCAACTAAGGCTTAAACCACAAAAAAAAAAACATGCTAAAAAGAAAGTTTCCATCAATGCGTCTGCGGTGAACGCACAATGTTGCCAGAGAGTGACAAGCAATGGTGACTCCTTTATATAGTACAGTGCAGCAAGGGCTAGAAAATAGAAGTGAGAGTGTGCATACAAGACGTAAGGGTTCGAAAGAGGGCAGCCCGAGTACAGAGAGAGTTTGAGAGGGAAACAGATGTCATCGGGGATTTCACATATATTGCCGCTCACTCTGTAGAGCATCGAACGCGTTATTCGAAGGTGGTAGATTCTGTCCCTGCTGGTGTAAGTTGCCTTTTCGTCCATTTTTACAGCAAAAGCTCTAACGAGATCAGTGCCGTAGCCAAGGCAGGGATCGGAGATGGGCGGGGGGGGGGGGGTACCACCTTCCTCATAAATTTTTCTTATAACCCCCCCCTCTGCCACTTACTCAACTTATCTTTGTTTTCGTCGCATCGCGTTGACATGATTTAGAAACTAAGCACTTCTACTATCCCAATAGCATTGCTGGGCACTTTTACAGAGAATATAGTCGGCATACGAAAAAACGTGTCGCGGTGTTTTTCAAGGTTTAGCATTCTGCAAGATTTTGGGAAGGAATCTCGGTCACGAGTGTTTAAAGTTGGCTCGGCGACGGGATTAATGCTCAAGCAGTGGTCATATACTTGTACCCACCGAAACAAATCTCGCCAGACTGAAGATGATAGCGTTCTTCCAAGAATCTGGTACTCTTCCCGTAAGGAGACGCTTTGTAAACAGAGTGGCTAGTTTTTCTAACTCAATCTGTCCTCCGTCTTTTAGCAGATATGATGCTATCTGATCCTCACCAGCAGCTTTGCCTCTTTGCATTCCCCCCAAGGCTTTTCTGACTTCTATCGTTACTGTTGGGATGCCATCTGGGTTACTGCTAGTTCATATATTGAGGTCGTGGTTGTCCCAACTACTGTACAGATCTCTAAAACTCCTCCGCCATTTTAACTATCCTATCCATATTGGTAGTTACATTACCTTCCTTGTCCCTTCGTGCATACATCTAGTTTTTGCCTATCCCAAGTTTCTCTTCACTGCTTTAACGCTTCGTTCGTTCTTCAGAGCATGTTCAATTTTCTCCGCGTTATACCTTCTACATCGGATACCTTACGCTTATTGATCAACTTCGAAAGTTCTGCCAATTCTATTTTGTCTAGTTGTATTTGAGACTTTCAAGCTTTGATGCTTTTTATTGAGTTTCTTTGTCTACTAGGAACAGCTTGCCAGTGTCTTGTCTAAGTACCGTACCTCCAACTTTCACTGCACATTCTGTAATAACACTCCTCAGATTATCATTCAATGCGTCAACGCTGAAGGCTGGTTTCCTCGATAAGAGCCGAGTACCTGTTCTGAAGCGAGACTGAATTCTTGTACTTTCCCTCTCAGTGCTAGTTCACTTATTTGCTTTTTGCGTATCACTTTCTGTCGTTTCTTCTTGAAGTCTAGCCGAATTCGAGACCGTACCATTCTAGTATCACTGCATCGCACATTGCCAAGCACTTCCACACCCTGCACGATGCCTGGGTGTGAACTCAGTATAAAGTCTATTTCGTTCTTACGTCGCCATTAGGGCTCCTTCATATCAACTTACAGTTTCCTCGTTTTCGGTAAGATTTATTCATGATCCGTAAAATATTATGTGCTGTGAATTCAACTAATAACTCCCTTCTGGCATTTATAGTACCAATACCATAATCTCCTACTGCCTGGTCTTCAGCCTGCTTCTTCCCAACCTTGGCATTGAAGTCGCCCATCAGATGTTAAACCCCATCAATTGATGGGGTTTAACTAGGTTCAAACAACTGTCTTTACTGTTGTTCAGAAAATCTTATTCCAAGAATACTGCCCTTCAGTTAACTT